TTTTTTTTTTTTTTTTTTTTTTTTTTGTCGTTCTGTTTAACTTCTTGTCTGTATTTGTTTTATATGTATATTGCTTTATTAGTTTGTCTACTTGCCTTCCTTATTCTATGGTTCTAGCAAGCTCTTTGGAGCCGTTCTTAGGGTCGTCACACAACGTTTTGGCTGCAAAGGAGGTTATCCTTGTTCTTGTTTTGTTTAAAAGTCCATTAGCCATGTCTAATTATTAAATCATATTAAAATATACCCTTATTTTGATTCCATACTTTCAAAGGACCCCTCGAAAGAGGTTGTCAGAAGCTCGTCAACTTCCCGTTCTGTGAGGGCATGGGCTACACATACACCATACCAACCCCAGAAGCACAACTGAAGACTTACCGATTCTTCTACGATAAAAACATGACTGATGGTGACAAAACGAAGCCAGCTAACAATTCAATACTCCAAAGAGTTATCTGGCGAATCAACAACACTCCTAAATGTGGAAAGAACATCAAAAAACTGTTCTGTGCTGACGTTGTGCCACCATGCTTTCCCCCAGAAGAGAAATCTTACTACACAGTGTGTCAGCCCGTTTGCAAGGCGATCGGAGAACAATGTCCTGAAGTGCTCGAAGGCAGAGGTTCCATTTACTACAAAACATGTGAGAGGATGGCCCCAGGGAATAGTTCTCATGGATATTGCAGGCATACAAAGCTGCCGCCAATCATTGATTGGGCAGATTATTTTAAAGGTGAGTAGAAGTTGCAACTGCTATTTTTATGGCTTGGATAGGATGTAATCATCATAGCCCAATCTTTCTTTTTCTTCTGCAGAAAACAGGGACCCCCTTCCCCATGGTAGGAAAATGTCACAGCTGCCTGACCTTTTATCTTGTATTTTATTTCCTGGAAAATAATCCTACCCCCTCCCCCTCACCTTAAAAAATAAAATGCTCTCTTCCCCCAGCAGAGCTGCCCAACCCAACCCACCTGTTACCTGGTGTTTTACTTCCTGAAAAATAAATCCAAAAAAATAAAATGCTCTCATATCCCCCCAACAGAGCTACCTAGTAACCCAACCCAAGCTTCCCTAGTCTGGAACAATAATTAATATTCATACTAATAAAATACTGCTTTTAAATTCCAGATCCGCCCACCCCTACTACTCCAAAGGGACTCAGTACAACCACCATTGTCATTATAGCAGTAGTAGTACCAGTGATAGTGATAGCCGTCATAACCACTGTAGTAATTATGTATATGAAAAGAAAGAAGAGTGATCTATTTAACTACCAAAGACACGAGTAAACTGTGCTTAACATTCACTTACATGCCAGGGGTGTAGCCAGGGGGTAAGAGGGCCTGGTTCCCCCATCCTCACGCTGTAGAAACCAAAACATCTATGTAGCATTAGCATGATAAGTTTGACTTACCAATGTTCTGAAAACAGGTTTTGCCCCCCCCCCCCCGAAGGCAAAATTGTCGCTATGCCCGCGCATGTATCTGTCAAAGTCTTGTCATTCAAGCTGTAAGGTATGGATCTTTTGGAGTGCAACAGGGAGGGGTGGTCTAATTTTGGGGGTACCAATGGGTATTCAGAGTTTTCATTAAATTTCAAAATAATACAAGAATATTGAAGCCAAGTAAGGAATTTCATTCAGTTTTTAGTTATTGGAGCTTTCTCCGAACTCTGACTCTTAACGAAAACTTTGGGTATCCATGAAGATGTAAGGAACCTACAAGACTTGCAAACACATTTGGAGTATTAACCATTAAATCTTTAAGGAATTAATATATTGAACAAATACCATTCATTTATGAAGATTTTAATTGATCCATTTCATTGATGCCTTCCTGTTGTTTTTTCATCATTAAGAAATGCTTTATATTTTATTGCTAAACATTTTTAAATAACTTTTTGTACTTGCAAGTGATTTGATTACGATTGAAAAATAAAAAAATGCTTTATTACTGGTAGGTGTATTAAAATGTATAACCAAAATAAGGGGGGAGGGGGGGCCTACTGCCCCTCGAGCCTACCCCTCTATACACCCATGTTTGATATGAATTAATAAAGTACTTATCATCATTACACTGACCCTATGATCAAAGCATTCACCAAACTTCCTTCAGGTATTTGTGTCAAAGTATCAGACCTTGGTGGAAGCTCCAGAAGAGCATTAGCAGTCCGTAGACTCAGTAAACGGCTGCTGCATTGACTTCCTGTTGTCGTGGCAACAGCCACAGGATCATCTGGTTGCCATGACAACTTAACTCTTTGATATTCAGGCCTTGGATCCAGAGCAATGGCATTTGCCAGCTTGAAGTAAAGAACAGAAAATTTTAAGGTTGTTTATGGAAAAATAATTTATTCTGATTTTCACTTTAAAAACATTTAAGTGGTTGATTCAAATAAAAGAAATACGAGCCCACTGACCTTGACTTTGATTCGAGTCAAATCAGGTGACGGATGACCAGACATCTTGTGCAGGGCAGGCAGAACAAAAAGGTAGAAAGTAACTAAAGCTGATACTGGGTTACCTGTGGCGAAGTACAATCATGCAATCATTAAGACCTTTGACTAAAGCAGAGAGGGAAAGTTAAGGAATCTGAGATAGGACTGCCATTTACATGGTCATTTATGCCACAGAGAAAGTCTAGCTATTTGCAAATATTTTTAGGGCAAAGGCAGCATTCATCTCCCGCATGACAGTCTGATGCACAACCAACTGAGCTAACAAGGTTTGTCTATGAAGGTTGATGCAAATATGACAAAGTTACCTGGGAGAGCAAAAATTAACTTCTTTTTTGAATGAGAAGGAACTGTGCTAAAGGTGGTTGGCTTCCTGGATTGAAAATACAAAACCAAGAATTAATGATACCTTTCAACTCACATGTTGATTCGGAATACCGGAGAACAGCACATCAAACAAACTCAACTCTTATATGTGGCTCAGTGAGGACTTGACCCTGCGACCCAAGGCATTAATCACACAGTAGTGAGGTTCATTATTTCTTACCCTGGTTTCATGAAAACTCTACCAAAGTGAATAGTAGCCCCAAGTTTGTCTTCAAGAACTGGCTTGAGAAGGTCCTATGCAGCACATACAGCATATCAGAAGAAACAGGTTAATAGTATGTAGTGGCTTTTGAATATGAACGAGTGAAAAAAATCAATCAAAAGGTCCAATTAAAAAAATGATTAATTTTGCATTTTTTTTCAACTTTATTTTTCCAATTTCACTCTTATCTAAATTGGACTCCCTGTGGTATRATKAAAGACCTGTACCTTTTCACCCATAGACACACCCCCAGATGATATGACAACATCTGCTTCAGACAAACCCTTGGTAAGAGTAGCTTCAAGACTTTCAGGACTGGTAAAAAAAACAGAAATCAAGTTGTCAATGTATATGATGTCCATCCCACCTGACCATGACAGGTTTTTCATGCCAAGAAAAACCTGTCATGGTCATGCCTTAAGATGTCTCCAAATTCCTCTCTTCAGGCATATGCATCCTTTGATAATTTTTTCTCCACAATCTTCAAAAGGATGCTAACACATGACGAAAGGAATGCAGACTAAAAGGCCATATGTTGGTGTGGGTGGAGTCATAGATGCTTTAAGGCATGACAGTGACTTTTGTTTCTGGCATTTTTCCTGGTATGGCACACCAGGTCCTAAAGAAAATTTTGAGATTACTAGTTAACAAATTATTTTCTCTCTAAAGCACCTGTATATTCTTTAACACACACAATACTTCATTCCCCAGGGGTATCTGTGTAAGTTTGCAGTTAAACATATAATATTTTGGTACTTACTTATCTCGAGCTATTCCCAGGTCAATAACATCAAACCCTTCTTTCTTCACAGCTGCTGTTAGTGTTGTCTTGTTGCTGTCCCTGATTTGACCAGCCTTTGGGCTTCCTGTGGGTTGGACAATCTTAAAGCAACAAAAAACATTGTGATTGGATAAGACTGTTATGTTAAACCAGAAAAAAAACCCACCTTATGCATAATAACACTAAATCAATCAAGGAATAAAGGGTGGTGTAGCGCGGTTTTTATAAAGAGGGTGAAGATGTATAAACCACAAAGTGAAACAAAAAAGCACTTGCATCTCACCACTATATTCTCAGGTTCGATTCCTAAACTCAGCATCAAGTGAGTAGACTCTGTTGGGTCGACTCCATTCGATTCAAGAGTTTTTTTCTGGGTTCTCCAGTTTTAATCCCTCAACAAGCTTAATTATAGTCATACTGCAGTATTTTGGAGTTTGTTTCTGAAGTAGAAGGGTGTAACAACCCTTTCTGTGCATTTGAATGTCTACACCCATCCTGCTGCATGTAACTGGTAGAAAATCTCGGCATAGCAAAGGTGCTACATGAGGGTAACCTCTGTGTACTCACTCGTGTAAGAACCATCTTTCTACTTACCTCATTACCAGTTGAAAGGATAGCAACCTTGGGCTTCTTGAAAACAGATACCTACAAAAAACAGTAGACTGATTTAGTCTGGATGGGTGTAATGTTTTCTTGTTTCAAAAGTTACACACACATGCTGATGTATCTTATGCCAGCCAACTTGTAGTCACATACTGACCTGGGTAACACCAACTGTGGCCAACAAACCAAGCTCAGCAGGACCCAGGACATCTCCTTTGCTTAGAACCAGCTCTCCAGATGAAATGTCAAACCCAATGGGCCTTTAACAAAATGAATCCAAGAAATATATTAACTTATTGTATATATTGTGTAAATGAAGAATGACATGTGGTCTGAAATGGGAAAATATAATGGTCAATCTGCCACATGCACTGCTTATTACCTTATATCCTGTCCAACTTTGGGAGTTGACAAGATCTTCACCTTGACTTCAGTTTTTCCCTATCAAAGTATAGAGTGACTTACAGTTTCATATTGACATCACACAATCAACCTTACTCTTATCTATTACATACAGCTTAGATAGGATGAGCGCTCTGGTTGGCATAGAACTGTGGTTTATTAATGAACAGAGCATGGTTGCTGGGTTACTGGCACCATCCATGCATGCACAGCAAACTTTGCAGAAAACAGAAAGAAAACAGCAGCAAAAACTACCACAGATAATTAATTTTTTCTTTCTATATTCATAATAAGACAATTTAAAAGGTTTTTTCAGTCCTCCCTTCAGTAATAAAGCACTTAGTAGTGACCAATAGCACTCAAGAAGTGACACACTTCTTTCATGCTTACATCTTGCTTACTTCATTACTGAACTTAGCACAGAAAAAGCTGTTTAAATTGCTAAATCAATGAGTGCCGAGTCTCACCTCATCAGCACTTTCCACAAGTTCTGTATCTTCAACCTGAACCACTGCATCTGAACCAGGTGGTACAGGAGCACCAGTAGTTATGCGCATCACATGACCTGATGTCACTTCTGAGGAGGTCTATGACAAATAATATACACCTGTTATAATAGTGTCATATAATATTTTAGGTGAAAGTTTAGACGTACAATTTCACCTGCTGTCACAGGACCAACAACTTTGCGAACTCCTGGTCCATCTGAAGCTATAAATGAAAGAATTAAGTCCTGTTATTTCCCTACACCTATTTTTGTAATTATATATTCAGAAAATTATATATACGCTCAATTGAAGAATCGTTGTCAGGTTCAGAAACATAGAACATAAAAGCTGAGACCGAAATGGCACATGGGAAATGACATGATTATATTATAATTTATTCATTTGTACCATCAATGCAGTCGGTTTAGAATGCCAAATGTGTATTAAAAATAGTGGATGATGCCACGGGTTGCCAGTCACAGCATGCATCTAATTAACGTACTTCCCATGTGCCATTTCGGTCTCAGCTTCTATGTTCTATGTTTCTGAACCCGACAACAATTCTTCAATTAAGTGTATTTAGAGACTGCACCATGTTTATTCCCATGGGAATTAAAACCTTTGTAAAACATAATTCAGCAGTTTTATTGTATTAGTCACAACTGACAATGGTAGAAGACACTGCCGAATCTTGTTTTACCAATTGAAGAGTTTAACGCTTTTCTTAAAAATTGCTATTAGTTTGCTCTTAACAAGACCATCGGGTTATATTGTACCTAAGACTGCATAGCCGTCTTTGATAGAAGCAGGGAACGGAGGAAATGGAGCTGCTGAACAAACATCCTCTGCCAGAACACAATCTAATCCATCTAGAACAACAAAATATCAGTCATAAGATGATGCAATGCAAGTACATAAAACACAACATTTTTAGAGTGGGAGGGTCTACAGTACATGTACATGGAGGATATACCTTACTACCTTCCTTAATATAGGACTATTTCAAGCAGTTTTTCTTTCTTCGATCAGTCCCATAAAGAAAATGCTAAAGAATTGCCAACAGACAAAATATTGGCCATCAAGGTCTTGAGGACCACAGGAAGCCCACACAGAGGATTCAGTATGCTAATTAAGCTGGTACAGGAAAACAAAATGATATATCGAAAATACCTTGTACATCAATCAAGTGTGTGCCAAGATGATTGGCTTGCTCCATCACGGCACTGATTGCTTTGTCCATTGGCATCAGCGGGTATGGAGAATGACGATCTCTTTCAGCCACTTTGCTTAAATCTAAGGATAAATTATCAAATATTTTGAATTGTTTCTAAGTGAAAATAGGAAAGTTTATCTGGGGTGCCTGTAATACCTTCACTTAGGTAGAAAATAATAATAATAATAATAATAAAATAATAATAATAATAATGGGATTAACAGTGGATTCCACAGAGTGGCTCTTCTTCCAATGGATTCCAATTGGAATTTAGAAGTTGATTTTCATTGAGGGAGGAAGGCCAGAGAACCCGGAAAACCCTTGAAGCACAGGAGAGAACTAACAAACAACTCTACTCGCATACAACACTGAGCTCAGTGGGAATCGAACCCATGTCGCATTGGTGAGAGGCGAGCACTCTCACCGCTACGCCACCTGTGAAAAAGAAAAAGCAGCAGGTGTTTTGGTGGAGGGGACAGAGGGATGATTTGTTTGCCTAAGTGAAGGGTGGACCCCTCACTCTCCTCACCCTCCTGAGAATAAATTCACCTATTACACCCCTGAGATTCAATAATTGAGTGAATTTCATCTTACCTCGTCCAGCTTTGTGAGGACAAACGTGTACAGGTGCATCCTGTGAGATAAAAGCAATGAAAGTTACTCTAGGAATGAAGGTTTAAATCACTTAAAATGTTCTTTTTGGCTGTTACCTTGCTTGAAGGTGTTTTTGCTACCATAGCGTTATGTGTTGCAGTTGCTTTTGGGGAGCCATTTATAATATCTATAAGTAAAAAAATAGTCTTCATGTTACTATTCTAGAGTCTGTTATTTCTCAATATTAGGGATGGCTCCAGAAAAAAACTTTACTTTTTATGTAGACTTCTTTTTCAAGGAGATAGAGAGGGTTTTAGGTTGTGTTTTAATGCTTTCTACATTACATTTCCTCTATGTATTTTAATGGTTTCATTTTAACCCATATAATAATATAATATTTCTCAAGAAAAAGATTCAAAATATAGTGGTAAGAAATACTGAAATTTTTTGTCTCTAAATTATTTAGAGACAAAAAATTTCAAAAATCATTTTCATCTAGCTTAAATACATGTCTTACCCAAGGCATGAGGAAGGACTGGAAGGGTGAACTGAAAACACTCCTGGAAAAGAAAGAATAAAGCAACATGATGACAATGATGGTGGGGATGATGATTACAATGAGCACTGGTGATGGTGATGATGATGAAGATGGTGTTGAAAATAATGCTGTTGATAATAGTGGTGATGATGATGATGATGACGATGGTGGTGGTGGTGATGATGGTGGTGTTGATGATAATGATGATGGCTAACATCAATGGTGCAAAAATAACCATAAAGGAGAACTGTTACTGTAATCCTTCTTCTGTTATGGTATCAATTGACAATTATAACACAGACATTTACCTGTGAGCCCTTGACGCTGCCTGGTAGATTAATAATCAGAGTTTTATTTCTCATTCCACAAACAGGCCTGAAAAATACATCATTCCCATCACTGATTATTGAAGAGAATTTGACATCTTTATCCAGTAAAGTAATATTATGCATCATGTACAACTGAATGGATGCATTACAATAACCTGCATTGCTACAAACCTTGATAGAACAGCAAGTGGAGTGACTTTAAGGGATTCTGCTATCATGTGCTGTGATAAACCTGGTGATATACGATGTATAACTTGACTTGTTGCCTGATGAAGAAACAACAAATTTTAGGGTTTTGGAGTTTTAAAATTGTCCTTTGAGGGGTAGGGTTGGTTTTCTATCCCATCATTGCCCCTCATATAAGTTCCTTTAATATACCTTGTCCCTTCCTACCTTGTCCTGTCCTCTCCCCTACTCTACCCCAGTCCTTTCCTTTCCTTTCCTGTCTCTTTCCTCTCCCCCTCCCCCTCCTCTTGGAAATTATACCAAGCAAAACATTTCGATGATAATAGACCTATCCTGAATTCGCTTGACTGACCATAAAACAATGGTTTGAAGTCAAGACAGAACTTGATTCTTTTATTCATCAAGTTCAACCTCGACTTGAAACCATTGTTTCGTGGCCAGTCAAGCAAATTCGGGATAGGTCTATTCTCACAAACCTCAGGGGTTACATCACGAGGTGAAAATCCTGTTCCACCTGTCGTAATGATCAGCTGAAGCTTGTCAACATCACTCCATTTGCACAAGACTTTCTGTTGGGTCAATAAGATGTGGAAGATGAATTCATGAGATTGGGTTACCTGTGGTGTTCTTGCTGCTATATATTTTAAGACTAAATTTTTAAAACTGCAATCTTATCGTCAAAAAAACCTCGTTTTTAAGATCGAATATAATTATATATGGAATGTATAAAAATTAAGGCTAACGTCTTTCCCAGATATTGAGTTTTTCTTTTCTTTCTCTAATTAAAATGAACTTCACCTTTATCTCAGGAATGCTATCTTGGACACAGTCGTGCTCTATTTGCTTGACATTTAACCTGCAGAGGATTAATATTAGTTCACGTGAGGATAACAGCAAACAACTCGAGAGAAAACTGCAAGAAAATGAACAAGTAGCTGAGTAGAAGTATTCAAGTTACTCTTTTGCTTCGAGGACTAGTTTGGTCAAGTTCGGCCCACTTCTGTCTTCTGCCTCGCCTTGAAAGCATCTGTCACTCACTAAGTAGGCAAACGACCATTAGTTAGCATGGATAAATGAGTAAATACTTCAAAAGTCGGTGCAAAACCAACGTTACCTGTCAGAATTCCAACAGCTATTCCTTCGTCCGCCATCTTGGATCTGTTGGATGAGATGGACTGGAAACCAAAACCTACCTCTGACTGCATCATTTGACGGGCTCATTTTGAGTGCAGAAAATGACATGACGGGCAAGTAAGTGCATGTGGTATGGTAGTCATGGCAACACAAGAGATATTGGACAAACCTTATGGTTTTATTGGATTACATGTTGGTAAGGTTACAATGACGTAACATTGTTTTGAGCCATTGAGCTTATGCAGGTCAAAATCAGTTGAAATTGCATAGCTCTGATTATAGACCAGATACCAGATACAGATACCCTTGCATGTGAATCATAGGAGCTCATTTTGGAGGACAACAACAAAAGAATTTCAATTTCCTGAAAATTGGAAACCTATTGTTTTGCCCTCCAAATAGCCCACTTGGATGTAGTCCTGAGAAGGACTGTTTGATGGGGCTGACTTTTCGACAACCTGAGTGGTGGTCGTCTTCTTGACTCTGAAACGTCAGCAGCATCAGTCACATCAAACAGTCCTTCTCAGGACTACATCCACCCAGATGATCATAATACAAATATTGTTACTTCGATAAACATTCATTCACCTGGGTTCAGACCGTTCTATACAAAAAGGTGTTAGGACAAAAAAAGCTATCAACAATTTTGTCTAAACATTTTCAGGTGTTGGTAAATACTCCTCTACAAATGAAGCTGATTACAAAGATGCTTGTAGGACAGCATGTTTACAAGTATGAAAAAATTGGTTCATTTTGCAACATTTTTAATTTTGTATCTTCCTTTAATTGATCGAATTCATGATTTTCAGGCAGTGGCTGCTCTTAAAGAAGGTAAATTAGCAGTAGAAGCAGTTGCTGTTGCTCTTTCTGCTCTAGAGGTATTTGCTTCTTGATTATCAACTTGCTTAATTCATAACAAAAACAGCCCCAATCTCCCCTCCCTTATAATCACTCTTTACATTAGTACGCCATAAAATCAGGTAGTGGGCTTCCTGTGGCAAGAAGAAACAGGGTACCCAATCATGACTTTGAACATACGGTGTAGCACTAAAGACTCTCGAGTAGACTTACCACTCTTGAACAGCTTTATTGCTATTATTAATTTGTGTAAATATTTACTTTCATTTGATGTAGGAGGCTCCTTGCACAAATGCAGGTGTCGGCTCCAACCTAAATCTTGAAGGAGAGGTTGAATGTGATGCTAGTATCATGGATGGAAAATCACTGGGGTTTGGTGCAGTTGGTGCAGTGAAGGGTGAGTTAATTGTCAGTTTATTCAAAAGCGATAGCATCAGACTATACCCTGTGAGTGGAATCTCTTTTTACCTTCTTCAATTTCAACAAGGTAATCAGACTATAGTCTGTTGAGAAAAAATAGATTGGCAGCTCCTTTTGGGCCAAATGAGACCTTTGCTTTGGACCACCCCTCCCCTGGCTACCCCTCTTGATCAAATTTATTTAGTTGTTTTTGTATCTGATGTCTCCCCTGCAAGCAGTTCTTAGTGCATTGCATGACAACACTAAGAACGGCTGCAGAGGAGACTAATATCTTATAAGACTGTGTGACATTTTCTCCTTAATTCTCATTCAGGGATTATAAACCCAAGTCAAGTTGCTGCCCATCTTCTGAAAAAAGAACTCCAAGGACCAACAAGTGTTGGTCTCATTCCACCAATGTAAGGAAACAAATTTTTTCAGCCTTGTTGGGATCATACATTCTCATAATCGTTCTCTCATTAATTTTTTTCTCCAACCCCTCTTCTAGATTTCTAGTAGGGGATGGCGCAGTCGGCTGGGCAAGCCAAAATTCAGTTGCAGAAAGTGTGTCAAATGAATCTCTCATAACTGGCAAGTGCTTTGAGATCAGACCGTCAAAAATCTCTTACCAAATAGATATTGTTTCGTGTTTCTGAGAAGAAATTTGTTTTTCAGATAAAAGTCTTGCAGCATTTAACAAAAGTAAGGCCAAACTAGACAGGACTAGACTGAACACAGTTGCACATAATTCTCACAAGAAACGAAGAATCGAAGACTTGTGTGTTTATGTAAGTCTAGAACGAACGTTTTTACTTGAAAAATAATTTTTGAAAAATCTAAGTTTTATTCATCAAAATATTTCACACTATTCTATCAAAGGTATCCTGTAGTGGTGCGTTTAGGGGAAGGGGGTAGTATAATGGGGTAATAAGGGGTTGGGCTTCCAGGGCTCTTTCTCTCCAGTGTGCTTCTCGGTTGTAGGTTTTGTTATCCAAAAGGAATTGGAGCAAGAGATTCTCTGGAATCCAGGTTACAAATATTCTACTCTGTAGGACATTTCCAACCTATTATAGTCATTTCATTGTGGGATTTGTTTTGTAGGAAGATTCATACATGGATACTGTAGGCGCAGTGTGCGTGGATTCGGAAGGGAATCTCTGTGCAGGTGTTTCGAGTGGTGGACTGTTACTTAAGACCCCTGGGAGAGTCGGGCAGGTAATGGCATTATATTAGAAGAGAAAGAAGTGCCGCAAGCCATGCGTAGCCATCATATGTGTTTGTGTTTAAACTTTACTATCTAGTTTTGTGCGCGCATCATCTGTGAAAACGTCACACTTTGCGCTGATTCGCGCCGACATCTTTTTATTTGGACGAGTGCGCAAAACTTACTCTTCTGTGCTTTTTAAGTAAGGTTTTTTTGTCTCGAGTCTGCGCAAATCATATTCCTGTGGTATTGCACAAAGCTATTTTCGGTTTATGAACTGATGCGCACTAATATCACGGGTATTATTGTCCAGGCAGCCGTGTATGGTAGTGGTTGTTGGGCCAGGAACCAAACTGAAGAGAGCGATGTTGGTGTAGCTTGCTGTACGACAGGTAGGAAGGCACATACGCGACAACACATATAAATCACGACCGAACAAATGAATATTCTATTTTCTTTCATGCCCCAGGATGTGGTGAATATTTAATCAAGACTATGCTCGCTAAGGAATGTGCAGAAATGGCTTCAAACAGGTTGGTTCGTAAAGTCAGACAACTGTTTACCATACAGGCTTCTACCGGCATTGCGCCCTTTTGCGATGGTATCATAACTACAGCACTCGACCGTGAATGCCAAATCATATGTTAGAGAATTATTTACAGTGCTACTCAATAACACTAGCGGAATTGTCCCTTTTCTCATTCCGTAAATACCGATGTGTTTTAAGGCTGAAGACTCATCCCTGCAGGCTTAGCCTCGCTCGCTTAAGAGTAAATCATTCGCAAATGTCAACTTTAATGTAAAGAATGTGCAGCTTGAACAATACCAATGTTTTGAAATCCCACGGACTTTTAATGGTATCTGTGAATAGCTGACTTATAAACGAGGCTAAGCCTGTACAAATGAATCTGTAGTCTTCAAAAACAGCGGTAATGCATTGAATGTGAAACTGGTGTATTGACGGCGGGAGAAAGTAGGTTTTGGTTGACGTAAGTGAAGGCGTTTCCATGACATCTTATAGGCATCTGGCCTTGAAAGCTTTGTTTTCCGACAATTTCATGGAAACACTTGTTCGACTTTGACATTTATTTATTTGTTCGTTTACTTTTAGAGATGGATATTCAGCAGTGAAAGATGCTTTACAACAGAAATTTTTTGGTAAGAGGACGAAGGGTCACAAAAATTACTCACTGGTTGCAAGAAAAAGCTAAAGATTTGACAAAACTTGAACAATCTGAGACTGTTGTCTTTTTTTTCTCTGATTTTAGATGCGTCGCATTTACCTTCAAATAAGCAAAAACTAGCTGGGATTTTGCTACTCAGGGCAATGGAATCAAAAAGTCAAGGTAATGATTCATGGATTATCCGTTTACAATCTTGTCTCGTCCCGTTTCGTTTGTCGGTTTGTTTTGCTTTGTTTTGTTTTGTTTAGTTTTTTATTTTTTTTGGCTTGTTTACAATAATAAAATTGCGCACCTTGAAGTTCATTCCCATCCTTCTCCCGATTGGTCTCGTTTTCATTTCCTATCTTTTTATTCTTTGTCTATTCTTTGTAAACCACCACACCAGGTCGCGAGGTCGAGCTTGTTTGGGGTCATAATGCCTCTAGTATGTGCTTGGGGTACATGTCTACTGAGAATCAAAGACCCAAGGTAACAGTACTTGAAGTCACCATATTTCGCATTCGCTACTATCATTCACTGTATTATTGACCTTATCATTTATCAAAATATTATCATTTGCCAAATTAATCAACCTGCTCTAACGAATAAAAGATCATCATCATCGATCTCTTCGCTTCATTACCAATATACTCAATATGAATTTCTTTTGAATCTGTTTGTTTGTCTCAGATTCGAATTTGCCGATCATCTGAATGCGTGGACGTCCAAGAAACCCATCCTGTAATGATTGAAGGAACAGTTGAAAGGCAGGACAAACAAAAGCCAAGCTAAAAATAGGTTTAATGACCGTTAGCTGAGGTGGTTGACAATGGAGAGGCATGATGAATCAGTCTTTCTTGGCAAAAAATGTTTAGGAAAAGTAGATCTACTCGTGCAGCCGAAACTTGTCGCAAAAGCAAGTCTCTCAGCTCAGTAAACGTTTCGCCAATTCCGGATCCTCAAAGAAGCATCGATGATAACACGACACGATTGCTAAAGCAGCACTTGTAAGACCCATTGCAGACCCAAACGTCTCTCGGTAGTCTTTACCCGTCAAATGGGTTGTTACTGTTTGTTTGACCCACTGAAACCAACACCACACCATCCGTACGCTAAAAACCTTTGAAACTTTTTATTAAACTCAAGTCAGTTGAAAGCATTCTTGTCTTGTGAAAATGAAAAGATGTTATCAAATAAATACTCTGATAATACAATGGATATACATTTAAGATGAAATCTTACAAAAATTAGTTTTTTGTATCCCTGTCTTAGTAAATCCTCAATTCCTGCGGTTTTGAAAAACTTTTTTTTCTAAAACGCAAGAAGGCTATTAGTGTATCACTTTTTGCTCGAATAACTAGAAAATGAGCGATGATTTCTGTAAAATCATGCCTTCAGCGCGACAATTTAATGGCTTCCTAATCGGCGTTTATTTTCATTTAGTAAATAGCTTTCCATTAGAATGTCCTCCCCTTAGTTACACCTAAATGGCTTTCCATGGGAATGTCAACCCTCAGTTACACCTAAATGGTTTTCCATGAGAATGTCAACCCTCAGTTACACTTAAATGGCTTTCCATTGGAATGTTCCCTTCGGTTACATTTAAGTGGCTTTCCATGGAATGTCTGCCCTCAGCCTCAGTTACACTTAAATGGCTTTCCATTGGAATGTCCTCCCTCTATAATACTTAAATGGCTTTCCATGGGAATGTCAACCCTCAGTTTCACTTAAATGGTTTTTCTCACTCAACCACATCACATAGTGGAAAAGTCACTAACACCCGTCTTTTTTCCAAATGTCAACGTTCATTCTAAAATACCAATTACTCTAACGAGCAAGTTCTTACTAGTCTTTGAATACGATAGGCGACGTCGCCATATCCACATATGCTGGTGTTTTCTTTGGTCTTCCGCGAGGTTTTCGGACAGGTTTATCTCCTTTTGTCGATTTTGCTTGAGTAACAACAGCAGGTGCGCTAGTTACTTTCCTGGGCGATCTTGGAGAAGATTTTGCTTTTGTTTTCTTTGGAGAACGTCGCTTTGCTAGAGCAGCCCGTTCTTCTTCATCAGAACTGGAGAGAATCGTTTCGATGTCTTTGCTTTTCTTGGTGGATTTTGGCGATGCGCGCGATCGAGGTTTTTTGGCTGGGATTGGTTCTTCGTTGTCTGATATGTCTGATGCTTTTACGACTTTTTGTTTCTTGGTTGCAGTTTTCTATATAAAATTTAAAATTCCTTATCAACCTCTCCATGTACGTGGTAAGGTATATACACCATGCTATAAGATACATTTCAGCAAATGAAGTACATTTATCCTAACGTTTCTCACTTCAACGTGTAGATGCTCATAACCTTCAAATCTTATTGAACCCTGAAACAACCTCTGGGCTGATCTAAGTCAGGAAACAGCTAACTCACAGATCAAACACTGAAACAACCTCTGGGCTGATCTAAGTCAGGAAACAGCTAACTCACAGATCAAACCCTGAAACAACCTCTGGGCTGATCGAAGTCAGGAAACAGCTAACTCACAGATCAAACCCTGAA